TGTGATTGTGAGATACAAATTACATATGACTGAATCTTAAATCGTCCGTGGTCGAAGTAATAACGAGATACGGATATCGTTATTACGGATAGACTATCGCGTGTGGCATTCTTACTTGTAAAGTAAGTAGCTGATCTCACAAGTTAAAGTGTGGTGACACTTGAATGAACACGTGGATGTTTTGTTATAGAACAAATCATTGGAGACCCGTTGGGAGATTCCACATGGATAACTATCAGAGTGTTAGTGGTTAATCTCTAACGTTCAGTAGTGGAATTGGTCATTTGACTTGATGTCGTCATAGTACCTTATATGAAGACAGTCATACTTTGATGGTGTTGGATGTTACTCTGCCATGGGTCACTAATACAGTATCGTTCGGGTATGTCAAGAATCATATGAAGGTTGTGAATGATCAATAGAGGACTCGTCGCTCTTAGATAGTAAGATATTATGATCTACATTTTATCGAGTTAAGTTAATAATGAAATCCTTGGTCAAGGTGAACTCATAAGTCGAAAAAGAGTTTTCGACTTACAATGACTTAACACTGGGATAAAAGATATGATCAATAATTGAGATTGACACGTATCCATATCTCATTATTGATTGGATCATATTGACGAAATGATTATAATTTCACGATAAACGAACAAGTTTGGTTTGTCACATCACGTGACATTTTCTCATCACATGTATTGCCCGACACATTACTAGATGTCAATTTGGGACGACAAATGTGAATTAGTGATAAATTAAAAGATGTGTTTTAATTTATTAATTTTGATTAGATCAGAATAATAATTCACGTCGTTAGGCATCGTGATCGGGAACTTAATGGGTTACACACAAAAGAGAACCAGAAGAATGAAATTTACCAATTAATTAATTGACAAGTGTTGGATGATTAATTAATTGAGTTGCTTATTAAGAGGCCCGAATTAATTAATTGGATTAATTAATTCATGGACCGGATTTAATTAATTTGATTAATTAAATATCGGATCGGGTAAAGTTTAGAGATGGGCCAGCCCACTTGGGCTTATATTAATAGGCTGTTATGAT